GTCGGATCGAGTTGAAATGTATAAGAAATAATTATTTGGTATGCCCGCACACGTCAGTTGTGTCAAATTTAAACTATACCCATTTCCCACCCCCTAGGGGGTACAAGTTTTTTTGTTTTTTCGGCGTTTTTAGCCGTAATTTTAAAACTTTTGGGTTGAAAATTTGCCAGTAGTTGGAACTCATATGTATCCATAACATATTAAACAGGAAAAAAATTCGGCACTACAGTTTTTTTTTTTATTGCCGGGAAACTGTGTTTTCGCAGATTTCGTATATTTTAACAAAAACACCTAAAATCTTTAAAAAAAATTGATCAAATCATTAAAACAATTTTATGTGTATCTATGCAGGATGATACTATTAAGTTTTGTGCTCAAGTACCACTTTTGACTTTAAGTTTACACAAATTTAATTTTTTTTTTTTTACTGAAGTTCTTTCTGGCTGATTAAAATTAAGAACTGATATTAAATTCGTAATCACCGACCCTAAAAACATATAATTTGACCACTTTTGATGTCTTTTACACAAAAATCCAGAAAAATGTTTTAATTTGAAAGTGATTTTATCACTTTTATTTATAATAATTCCTGTAGACCTGTGACCTCTCTGTTTCCTCATTGCTTTGATTACATTATGTCTGTACTGTACTAGTCCTCTCGGATAAAATCACTTTCAAATTAACGCTTTGATGCTCATTTGTAAATACAGAACCTTAATTTAAAACTTTCTTACTTTGCTAGTTTATACTGTGCTTGGTTTGGACTGTACTGGCTTGAAAATACTAACTACCGATTTGCATCGAAGCGTTTTTTCGAAAGTGATTTTATCACTTTCAGATTTAAAAATTCCTGTAAATCTGTGACCTCCCCGTCCCCACTATGCCCCGACCCAACTATGCTCCGTCCCCACTATGCCCCGACCTCACTGTACTGGTTTTTTATATATTAAAGGAACAAGCAAAAAAGAAGGAAAATTACATTTGGATCGTAATCAATTTCTAGGTTGCTATGCGTGAGTTAATCAACAGTTAACAGGTATTTGTTAACAAAATATTTTCATACATAAACAATGTATAGATAATAACGGTAGCAACTCATTATAGAGTTAACAATAAGCCGTAATCGTATCCTCCATAATACATAAAATAACATGTGAATTACGTTATAACTTTTACAATTAAATATTTAAGTTTAAAAAATAAAAAAAGGTATGAATTTGAATATTGTCTAATATTGTAAAATAACAATCTCCGAAAAGAAATACCATACAATTTTGATTTTAAGAGAAAATAAGTGTCATATCCTTAATTGAATCACTAAGTATTTAAACACATATCAAGAAAATTTCTATCACGTGAACGACTAGAAGACATATAGTTGTTTCCTAATTAAATACAAAAAAACTATAAGAATTTGTTCAAAAGTTATTAGGAGGGTTTCTTGCATACGTTGATTGAATCGAACAATCGACTAAGTTATTTCATCTACTTCTGTATTAAATTATTCAGACTAAATCCTTAGTAAAGTTTGAAAAATAGATTTTTTTTGTATATAAAAATGTTTTAATTCTTTCTTTTTTTAGGGAAAATCGATAATTTAAAATATAGTCGTAGAAAGATGGAGCATAGAAAATATAACTAACCTGCTTTATGTGTCTTGGGTAGCATTTAGCATTAATAAGTAAGAAATATATATTTTTTTTTTATTTCTATAGAAAATTAACGTCTGCAAAGGTACAGAGTACAGTTAAAGATATTTTCAGTAATCAGTAATTAATAATTCTAATAATATACCAAAAGGATACAATTATGAACAAATTTAAAATTTACAACTGGCACAACCTATTGATCTACTAAAGTATAATTGTTTTTTAAAACGATCGTCCTAAAGGTTCAAGTACAGTTAATAAAGTGAGTGCTTATTTTTAGATGTTACAAAAGTAATAAATTAAATTAATAAAATATATCTAATATATACAAAAAATAAATACAAAACTCCATATTATACATCCATACTCCAATATAGGACGAACCAAAGCACGGCATCACAATTTAAGGCTAAAAATCTTTCAAAAAATAAAAAGTTCAAAATTTTGTTTTAAATATTGTACCTGCAGTGTTATTTTCGACGAGTTTTAAAGGTTCAAACTAAATTTATAAAACTTTAATAATTAATTATTAATTTTAATTTTATTTTATTATTTATAAAATAATGCTATTAATATTTTGTTTTGTAATAATATTGTTCCACGGTGATGAAATTATGACAAAATGCTTGTGTAGACAATCCATTTACCACAATTAAACCCTTAAGTATAGAATTACAAATAAGAAATGAGAAATTTAACCAATAGTACTCACAAAATAATCTTAAAAATTATGAGTTAAAAACAGGTAATAAAAAGGAAGGTTCCGCATTGACAAAAGTCATCATTCGTCTAATAGGTGGTGGAATGAGGAACATAAAAAGAAGACTTGCAGACATTTAATAAACCAAAATACTTTATTATATTTTTTACCAAGTTGTAGGTTATAACATGAATAAAACCGTAATGATTTTTTTCCTCGAAAATAACCAACTTTAATCTAGTAATTGATATTTACACATTTGAGTGCAAATAATAATCTGAAATAATTTTTCTTAAATATTTTCATTTGGCTTAAAGCCTTAAAATATTTGATTTTAAACATTGACAGAAAAATAACTTAAAATTAAGGTAGATAATAATCAAATTATATCTATGATTGTTTTAGACGTATTTAAACAGTTTTGATAATTATTTAAACAATTTTAAAGTAATTTTTTTAAAAAATTTCAAGTAAAATGTCTCAGCAAATTGCATGCTCTCACAAGTTAGCTAGCTTAATTATATTTACAATATTTTACAAAGTCAGATTTCATATATATATAGTTACAATAATAAAATAAATAATTTTATATTATGTAATGTACATGTATGTGCCAATTTTTTTTTAACATTATTATAATTATTATTATTGTTAATGTTACGTATCAGCAGTTTATATAAATACATATGGTGGAAATTGTCCACCATACGCGAGTGCTACACCGGCACAACTGTCATTCGTATAACTTGGGTTTAATAATAAACATCAGTGAATATTATTATTTACATTAATATAATTGTGTTTTACTTTCATACTAAGATATAACAGTTAATAAATTTAAATTTATTTTAAGTTATTATTTGTTATTCATCTTCATTTTAGGAGTTCAATAGGTTGAAGAACCTAGTTAATGTTCTTTCCTTTTGATAAATGGTAATTAATAAATGGTATGGCATACATTTCATCCTACTACTAAAACTATTAATTTTGATACTTAGTGTTTTATAACTATTTTTTTGTTTTTAATTAAACAAAATACACACCTTTTTGTAAACAATTAATGAGTAACATAAAAATAAGTTGAAAATAAGTTACAGTGGTTACAGACAAAAAATCATTATAACGTATGGTTTAATGTTATAAGTTATACTAATAACTAATTAACTTAGAAAATGATTAAAGGTTATACATTATAATGTGAAATAAATTGGATACACATCGTATTTGGACTCATGGAAGTTTTTTAAGTACACGCTTATATTGGTCTGCTCTTCTTGCTCCTCTAAATCCGGTCTTCAATTGATAGTACCATAACTGGTTTCGTTCAAATGGGTTCCATACAGTGATTCTGTAAAGTTGTTACTTTCAACATGTGCTTGATGTCCTATGCAAGTTAAAATTTTAGTTAACATAATTATTTTATTGAAATTATTAAAATTAAATGTTGACGAGGTTACCTCTTAAATCGGCTCTTGATTTAGTATTATTCATACGACGTACTGCAACTTATTGTGGTCATTTTGTAGTTTGGAAACATTACGCGCCCTTGCTCTTCGGTTTTGAACCAAACCTAAGTAACAAAAAGTTGTACAATCAAACTTTCGACTTTCATACCCAAAATACAGATGTTAGGGGTGGTAGAAAGTTAAATCCCCTGGTAATATTTCATCGAAAACTTTAACAATACAGAGTATTTTACGCTATTTTTACAAATAAAATAGAAAGATTTATACATTTTTTTGTATCATATTAAGTGGCCCACTTAATATTATAAAAAAAATGTATAAATCTTTCTATTTCATTTGTAAAAATAGCGTAAATACCCTTTATTGTTAAAGTTTTCGATGAAATATTACCAGGATATTTAGCTTTCCACCCCCCTAACCTTTGTATTTTGGGTATGAAAGTCGAAAGTTTGATTGTACAACTTTTTATTACTTAGGTTTGGTTTCAAACCGAAGAGCAAGGGCGCGTAATGTTTCCATACTACAAAATGCCAACAACAAGTTGCAGTACCGGCGTATGAATACTACTGAATCGCAATCCGACTTAAGAGGTAACCTCGTCAACATTTAATTTAAATAATTTCAATAAAATAAATATGTTAACTAAAAATTTACCTCACATAGGACATCAAGCACATTTTGAAAGTAACAACTTTACAGATTCACTGCATGGAATTCAATTGAACGAAACCAGTTATAGTACTATTAATTTAAGACCGAATTTAGTAGATCAAGAAAAACAGAACAATATAAGTGTGTACTTAAATAACTTCTGTAAGCCCAAATACGATGTGTATCCAATTTATTTCACATTATAATGTATCGTAACGAGATGGAATTACTTTTATGACAATGTAAGTGCCTTTTTGATTAATATCAATCAAGTTCTTTTAAATATAATATAATTCTATATGTAATAGTTACATGAAAGTGTCCAAAATTAAAAAAAAACATGTTTTGGAGCTCATGGTAGAATAGTACAAATTAATTCAGCAGTTTACATAAAGATTCGTATTTTTATGGCTAAAAATATCGTTATTAAAAATAAATTGGGGGAGTAAAAAAAAAAGCTCTACTCAAAGTATAAGCATTTTGAATTCTATACCCACTCTAAAATAAAAATAAATCATACATTATAGAAGTCGATTGCAATTACATTTTGTAAGTAGACCTTCTGTCTGTCTTTGTCGTTGTCATTGCCGTTGCACCAGTGGAACGAAATTTTAGTGTTGGTAGTGTGGTATAATCTAAAAAAAGACGAAATATTAGTGACAAGAACTAAAATTTAGATTAATTAAATATGATAAATAATTTTATATTGCATTTCAAACAGACAACTTTCATGCAAATAATTTTAATTTTAATTATTAAATTAGTAAGGTAAAAGAAGATGAAAATTATTTGGTATTGAGGAACCTTTATTGACTATTAGGGAAAAATAGCCAACACCTACATATTAATAGCCAAGGCTTAGAGGTGTCTAAAATTTATTTTATTTTAAATAAGCGACACAAAGCATATGACAAAATTTAGTTTAAAAAAAAAAAGTACCCAAACAGTTTACATATTTCATAACTTGAAATTATGATGCGCTATAATGTTTTAGTATAAAAATAGTCGAATGTTTATAAATTTGTATGGAAAGTTTTTTAAACATAGTTTTATGAATAGTCGTATTTAGGTATACTTTGATATACTAAAAAAAGTATACAAATCCATTCTCCCCAATGGGTAGACATTTTTTACTTTATCTCACTCTATTATGTGTAGTTTATGGCCTTTAGACCTGAAAATTAGTCTGAATGTAATTTAGTAAAGGCCCCCTTTACTATACTAGGGGGGTATAATATAATTAGTTTTCTCAAACGTGTGGTCTATCTTATTTTTTATTAAGGAAATACAAAAAAAAGAGTTATAATAACTCTTGAATCCCTATGATCTCCAACTATCCAATATTACCGTTTCGATTATGCAGTGGTCTAATCAATGTTTTTTTTAAATGTTTAGTATACCTATTTTTAACACAATACTCTCCAACAAAAATATTTATGGGGTTTGGCCAAACTATTTCAGATTTTAAACCACTGTGTCGATCCCACTAAGCTGTTTCTTAAAAAAAAACATTTTGATTACAATAAGACAATAATAAAATTATAATACATTGACATTAAATTTATAGTCCCACTCTCAACCATATTTTCGAATGAAAAGTTGTTAATTAATTTAACAATTAAATTATAGTATCTTAGCTTCATTTCAGGCAGAGTAGGTATTGGCTTTATAATTATGTGTTTTAGCTTTGGACGACGGAGCTAAGATGGTATTGGTAATACAACGATGTGTTATACGTTTTGTTTTGTTTTTTTTTGTGTAGAACACACATTGGGACTTAGTATTAGAGTGAATACACGATTGGTAGATCGGCTGTCAATAACATTATGTTACCATTGTTTCCCATAAGTCGTAATTGACTACCTGTTGTGTTTACTCTTATAGAGCAACCTAGTAGTATACTATAGTCAAAGTGTGTTTTTCTTCTTTTTGAACTTTCCTTATATCTCTAAAGGATCTATTCAGTCTAATTTTCAGTCCTCGAATCTTAACACTAACCTTAAAAATGTAAAAAAAGCTATTGTTTCCACATCTTCTAGGAGTAAGGTTAATGATTTCGTTAATACTAACTATAACCACAACTGTCTGAATCCAGGAATAAGGAATGTTGTATTTCAGCAGGACCCCTGACGGCTGTAAATGAAGTTCCTGCAAAAACAAAAAAATAATAACGTATTATTTACAGTTATGAGGTTTTTGTCATTAAACTTGTCAAAATATGACAAATTTGAACTTTTACATTATAATTTGTAAATCTCATCTTTGGACACATTACATTATATTATTTTATAAGCTTGTAAACGGTTTTAGGAAAATGTATCTATGTGGAATACTTTGCACACACCATCTATTAATAAAAAAAATTACGGATAAAATCATAACATTTTAACTGTCCTGAATGTAAAAACTTATAGTATACTTAACGTAGAATTGACCACACCATTTTTTCAAGATTTACTATAATATACCGGATAAAGAATATATAATTATCTTATTTAATCAATTCCAAATAGAAATCAAGTAGTATTTCATCGTTCAATTCAATTTAAGAAAATTGGTTGGTAGGCTGTACAAAAATAGGTACTTGGCACGTAGGTAATGCCCTCGAAATCGACTAATTGTCAGTACTTTAGATCAACACGTGTCTGAAATAATACTATGGGAAAGCAGCCAAACTTGCTACACAGAACGATTTCCCAAGTTTGACCCTGCAAATTTCTGCTACAATTCTGCAATTCATCATTCATTTTTTTTTTGTTAGTCTTAACTTGTTTAAAAGGCAAATAGTTGTCTGTTAAATAAAATTTCGATATTTTTATTGCATTTTTAGTTTCAAATATTTATGTATACATTTTTTTTTAAGAATAATAAAAGTTTTGATCATATTGAATATAAGCCTACATCGGATTTTTTTTTTGACAAAACCGAGACACAACAACGCAACGGTCAGGTAATAATATCGTTTGCGCTTTTGTTGTGTCCACTCGGACGCACCTAAGCAAATATAATAAAATCCTATATAAAAATAGTAAAAGAAAAAAATAGTGGTAATACGAATTTAGAAACCTTTTGGAACTGTAGAGTTTATATATTGTGTAACGGCCGTGATCCTATATATCTATACATCATATTATAACGCCTAAAGGATGTACTAAATGAACCGGTCGGTGAGCAAACATTCAAAGGAAAAAACTCAATTGGATTCGCATCAATTCAAACACTGGTGCAGACATTTTTTTTTCTGGTATTCCGTTCGGTTTTGAGTATATATATATATATACTGTTCTGACCAAGTAGCACCTTTTTTCTTTTTTTTGTAAGTTGTACCACTTCAATTGTTATATGACTTGTCTGCACAAGCTATGTACTTTTTTTTATACCGTTTCCCCGATGTAAAACGTACATCGTTTTTGTTCAGACAAAATCGATTTCTTAACAATTTCTAACAACTTTAGCTTTGACGAGGAGCTGAGGAGGTATTGTTTAAATAAAAAAAACACATCCGAGAAATTGTGTAATTTAAAAATTCAAAATTTAAATAAACAATTTGAATGTAAATTTAGTTGTTTTTAAGTTTCCGATAATTGTATAAAGGTATAAAGAACTTAAGAGTAAACGAATGATTTGGAAGGCTCTATTAAAGGTTTTTATATATTATGTAATAGCTTGCGTACGAGTCCGCAACACCACGGGATACATTTTTATGTATCTAAGGTGGCTAGTAAACATATCAAGTTTCTGGCTAATATTTTAGTGTTTTCTCAATATCTGGCCCAAAACAATTCATAGAGAATTTGGCCCCTTAAATTATTGAATTTATTTTTCATTTCTATTTTGAACGTTGTGAATACAACATATATGCTACCACCCCAACCCCAACCCTCATCTCTTACTCCCTATCTTCTTCCCTTATCTCTTATCTCTCTTATCAGCTGTTATTTTTCGTTATGATAACCGGTGTCGGTTTTTGACATTTTCATGTCTTTGCCATGGCACACACACGGAAAATCGACACCGACACTGACACTTACACCGCTTATCATATCGAAAAATAACAGCTGATTTATCTGATAAGATGAGAGATAAGAGATAAGGGAAGAAGATAGGGGGTGAAAAATAGGGGGTAAGAGATGAGGGTTGGGGTTGGGGTGGTGGCATATATGTTGTATTCACAACGTTTAAAATAAAAATGAATTATAAATTTAATAACTTAAGGGGCCAAATTCTCTATGAATTGGTTTAGGCCAGATATTATGAAAACACTAAAATATTAGCCAGAAACTAGATATGTTTACTAGCCACTTTAGATACATAAAAATGTATCCCGTGGTGTTGCGGACTCGTACGCAAGCTGTTAAATTATAATATGTAACACCTTTCTTAGAAAAATAACTTTAAGCCAATTATTTTCGTTATGATAAGCGGTGTCGTGTCGGTGTCGATTTTCCGTATGTGTGCCATAGCAAAGACATAAAAATGTCAAAAGTTGGCATAATGCGATTTAGCTTCGTCCGCAATCAAATTTCGAAATTGCTAAAAGTTTATCTAAGTGTACACACCTTTACACATGTTTATAACATTCTAAAAAAAATCGCTATCCGGGAAGGGTCGCCGCGTTAGTCTATCGCCAGAGACGGGGAATAGGAGAAGGGAGGCCTTTTTTTATCAGACAGTTTCTCGCCTGGCAAACAGAGTACACTGACGCTAACCCTCTTGCTCTTAAAAACAAAAATGGGTATACAGGGTGATTCTTTTATGATGAACCACTCAACATCGCATAAGGTTTAATAAGAAAATAAAATATTTTTTTTTATATTCTTGTTATACAATGTGATCTAAATGTTTCACAATTTGTTTTTGTTTTTACGCCTCTCCCAACTTAGTTTTTTTATAGCAAATTTTGAAACTTAAACGTTAACGTATACATTTTATTAACATTTTTAATTGAGAATAATGTACTACAAATTTTTATTGGTCGATAACCAGTTTCAGTTAACTATTTTTAAAGTTATAAGAGTTTAAAAATTAAGATGGGAGGCAAAGTGCGGTTTGGAAATGCGCGAAGATAAAAATAATACTACACTCCACGTTTCCTCCTGCCCTAAACTTGAAACTTCAATAACTTCAAAAATAGTTATCCGAAACTGGTTATCGACCAGTCAATATGTTTAGTACATTATTCTCAATTTAAAAAGTTTTTTTTTTTTACAATCCATACAAAATATGTATATTCAGCAAGTCTGATGACAAAGCTACAGTGACAACAATGTATGAATATGAAGGCTCTCAGCAGTGTCACCTGGCCAGAATAAAATTAAAAAAGTTAATAAAATATATACGTTACCATTTAAGTTTCAAAAGTTGCTATCAAAAAAGCTAAGTCGGGTAAAAACAAAAAAAAGTTGTGACTAATAAATTGAGATTACATTGTATAACAGTAATATGAAAACAAATATTTTAATTTCTTACTAAACACTATGAGATATTGAGTGGTTCATGATAAAAGAATCACCCTGTATTATAAAATAAATTTAACGCTTTCGGTTTTAATTAAGCTCCATAAAGATGCTCGTCGGAGTAAGAATGAAAATTCAATTTGCGTATTATTGAAAAATTAACAATCTTCCATTAAATATAAATTCTTTATCGACGGATAACAATGTTTGTCATCAAAATTTATATTCCATGAATGAATTATGATAAAGTAAAAGCTTTTACCGCGTGAGATAATTATAAAAAAAGACATTATGTTATGTAAAATGTGTCATTTTGTGGTCAAGGTTATTTTTTTTAAATATTGTACATAATGACGTAAAAAAATAAAAGGTAATTGACGTAGAACACTATCAGGAAATAAATTGGCGAAAAAAATTATATTGTACGGAGTTCGTAATAAATAATAAAATAGAAAATCGTTATTATCAATCCCCTTAAAAACTGCTTGGTGAATAACAACTTTTTAACTTACTGGCAACATCAAAATAACAAAAGGAAAAACAAACGTTGCCAAAAATATAACCGAGAATTCAAAAAACACAATCACAAAGACCTGTATAATAATTATTTTAAAAAAAGCCAGTACAGTGGGGTTGGGGCATAGTGGGGACGGAGAGATCACAGGTCTATAGATTTTATTATAACTAAAGTGATAAAATCACTTTTAAATAAACGCTTCGATGCGAATCTGTGTATAGTATGTTCAAACCAGTTATAGTGGTTTAGTCTTGTGCAGGGTGGATATGATAAGGGTCGATCGTCTGTCTATAAAAATGTACTGTCATAGTTATCCATATATCGTAATTAACAATAAAATGAAAATATTTTCATTACCTGTTGACTGTTGATTCACTCACACATAGCAACCTAGAAACTGACTACGGCCAAAGTGTAAATTTACCCTAGTTTTGGTTTTTTTCCATAATAAAAAAAACATTTTGACTGGAGATTTTTGAGAAAATTGTGTATGTTATAGATCCATTTTAGATCTATCATCGTTTTAATTTTCAGATTTACATCTTTAAAACTGCTTGAAATAAAGAAAAAAATTCTATCCCTTCTAGGGGAGAGGATTTATGATATTTTTTTGGTTTGTTAATGTTTATCGATAGTACTATGTTTGAAGAACAATTCATATAAATTTGAAACTTTTTGGACTATTTTTAAAAAAGTTATAGAGCATCGTAATTTTAATTTGAAAAATTTGTAAATTTTTAGGTGTTTTTTCTCGATTTTGATGGGGAAGGGGTGACTTTTTTAAATTTTTTGCCCAATAAAGTACCTTTCAAGTATGATTTCTGATCTATAAAGTTGCTACACAAAGAAATCGGTTCAGCGGTTTACGAGATATCGTGGGTCCGGACACAAAAAAAAAAATAAATAAAAACACATCATTGTAAAAACAATACCTATAAATTCTATAAAAAGAAGAAAATTTATAATTTGATATCGAAATTAAATACAGTATCCTCGAAAAAATATGGAATTACCTACTATAGAAAATAATTTAAACAAAATTTAGAAGACGAAAGTTTTATATTAATATATATATATTAATACGTTGCTATTAATTTAATGTTTAATCAAAAATGATAGCAGGTGTCATTATTTGGGATAAAATAGTTTAATGTTGCTTTGTTTACCTCAAAAAA